ACTGGGACATCTCTTCTGATCATACAATGTATCTGACTGGCATGGATTTAGAATTGCTTTCAATAAAGATTTTATTTTAAGGTTGGATGATTTCTTCCCAAATGTCTTGCCACTAAAGCAAAGTATATTGTACGTGTTATTTTTTAACTCCTGTAAACCAGCATTTGGGAAGGAGAGGAGAATAACACGTTAAGCTAGAAGCTTCATCATATGAGTCAAATTTTAACACGTTCGGATTGATTAGGGGCTCTGCAATAGCAAAAGTCAGAAAACTGCTGCATAAACGCTGGCCCATAACAGTGTACTGGAAAGCCTGTTAACACTACTGTAGTTGAGGTGAGTTGAAGGCAACTGAGCCATTCCCAGGGCCAAGACAAACATTACACTTGCATATTCCGGAGTATGTATAGGAAACAGATATTAGCCAATTTGAGGATAATTATTGGTTAAGCAGATCAATGGGATGTGCAGACTTTGACCCACTAAGGCATTTCATAGGAAATTACATATCAAATCAGTCCCATTGTCCATTTGGATGAGCATCTTTGGCCACGACAGTGGTCGTTAGCACAGTTCAGCAAAAGTGCAAAACCCACTCATATGGGCTGACATGGAATAATTCACTTACAGAGGAGTTGGTCCCTAATTTTGTAAGGTTAGTTATAAATTTTTGCTTTATGGAGAGTCTTCTTTATTCCCATGTATCTTTAATATTTCTTGGCCTCCATTTATAGAATCATAGAATCATATGGTTTGGGTTGGAAGGGACCTTAAAGATCATCTAGTTCCACCCCCCCTGCCATGGGCAGGGACACCTTGCACTAGACCAGGTTGCTCCAAGCCACATCCAGCCTGGCCTTGAAGACATCCAGGGATGGGGCATCCACAGCTTCTCTGGGCAACCTGTTTCGATTTAGATTTAGATCTCTGTTTCTGTCTTGCATGGCAGTGACTTTCCCTATTTAAATAAAATATTGTGCATAATGCTGGTGGAAAAGATTCTGATAAGATCAATACCGCCTTTTATCCCTTGGTCCTCTACTGAATTCAGAGAATGACATTTCCCACACCTGATATTCTGGCCCATAATATTTTACCAGTTGACCCTTTCTTACTCTTATGATCCTCAATTTTGTGATGTGTTGCCCTTTAGTCATAATCTATGTTACCAGTTCATGGAAGAGCAGCAGGATTGTCTTACTAAAAAGTTACCCTTAGATAAAATTTAAAATAGTAAGATAGTAATAGACACAGTTAAAACATTTCTGCTAAGGGTAGAAATGCCCCTAACACTAAATCCGCATAGGATGGAGAGGTCTGAGAAAGCAAAACCAAGTAGTGCCCAAAGAAGACAGCAGAGGAAAGCTCTACCCTTAGACACTCTATAGCGTATAGTAAAACCGTGCCTTTGCCTGTGGGGTTTTCCTCCCTAAATACGCTGACTTCTCACTCTAATTTTTTATGTGCAGTGGGAACATTAAGGTGAGGAATCAGAGTCACTGTTGAAACACTTTCCTTAGCAGTTATTATGGAGTAAAATGGATGAAGAACATTTCCTAACACCTGGTCTGTTTGAAGTAGTACTCCAATGTGCTTTCCGAGCGTCAAAATTAATAATGATTTTATTTAGAGAGTTTGAAAAGTGTAGATTTAATGGAACTAGAGCGCCAAACTCACCATAAAATGACCCTCCTAGCTGTAGAGCTGCCCTGCTCTCAGTCACACGCTTTCCAGCTTACAGTTGCCTTAGCAACAGCCAAAGCATAAATTCCAAGTATTTTTCCTTATATATCTGCCATTGACACTAGAGCCCTCCTATCAGACACTTCTGCTTTTTTAATACATCATTAATTTCATTACTGTTAATAATGAGAACGATATTTTCTGCGTATCTTCTGACTTGTGATCTTAAAGGACTGAAGCCATTCTTGAAGTTCATTTACTTGGGGAGAAAAAAATATTTTGTAAAGCATAACACCCAACAATTTCTTGATATGGTTCCAACATCTGTGGCACCAGATTATAGATTGTTTCTAAAATAATCTTAAATTGATGGATCATTGCTCCTTTCATTTGGGCTTGACAAAAAGTAGCTCTGACATTTCCTTTCACATTGTATGTTGTAAATTTTGCATCACTCGTTCTGCTCTTTTTCTTGCCAAAAAAAGAATTCTTGCCCGTTTTTAGGGATTTTCTCTTTTAACAACGGAATTTCACTTAGCAGCTACAGTAATAGCTTAGATTGAGCTTTTTTTTTTTTTCTATTTTGCTTTGATTTTTTCTTTTCTGGACAGATAAAAATTTAGTTGTAGAATCCTATTGAAAATATTTGTAATTTTTAAAGACATAATGTCCTAAACTTATTTTATTCAGGCTGGATTGAATTCCTTCCTTCTTTCCCTCCATTAGCTGTATTTTACCACAGCTTATTTAGAGTACTCAGACTTTCCATGTTTCTAAGTTTGCTTAGTTTACAGTTTTTTGTTATTATGGCCATCAAAATAAGTACGACCGCATAAATAGACAATATCAAGAAGTCTCAAGAGATTTTATCAATACAGTAATTATTACACTAGTGTTAAGCTTAGGAGCCCCAAACATATATGGAGGTTCTTAGCACCACATTCCATGTCAGTGAACCACAACATATAGTTAATTCCCCTCCGTTGCCAACACACACCATGCACATCTTCCCTTGCTTCATGCCATACCCTCACCTCCCGAGAGCTGAGCGGCTGCAGACCACGTGCTGGCAATGCCTAGATTCAAATGTGCAGGATAGCATCTCCAGGATAAACAAGGGTGAATTATTCTGCTTGGGAAAGATGGCAAACAAGAGAGGTTGGCTAACCACCTTCCATTTTCTGTGTCCACATCAGAGACATAAGATCTCAACATCTTGCTCCAAATTTTACAGATAAAGGAGGTCCGATCCCTCCTCTCCTGTCAGTAAATCGAGCTCTATCACTACCCTGACTGCTCATCTGTGGTTTACTGCCTCTTGCTCCTTGCAAGATGTTTCTCCTCCAGCATGATCGATGCTGTCCATCACCAACACCACCGCATTGCAAAGCCATGGCTGATGCTAAATTGACAATCTGTAAAGTTAAGGAAGATACAACTGCTGAATAAGTTTTTTCTGCATGGTGAACTAGCATCTCTATCCATACTGATGTCATCTGCAAATACTTGACAAAGTTTCCAACTTCTAACATGTAACAAGCTCAAAAGAAATCAAGTCCTTCTCACAGCGAGGCCCCAAGCTTGATATATACGTAAGTGGCATTAGGCAAAACAACCTGATCACCCCATAACAAACATTTTTAATTGTGATAAAGATGTGTGACATCCATCAGAGGCCCACACAGTCATTTGGCAACAAAACTACTAGCTTTTGAGACTTTTTGAACTTCTAAGAGAAGAGATATGTTAATATTACCACAGAGGAAAGAGAAATTTTTTTTAATTTTTAATAAAGATACTATATTTTAAGAAACTAATAATTAAGCCAATCTGATTAGTGCCATATGGAGAGTGTTTTGTGCAATGGACACCACGGTTACAAGCATGAGGCAGAACTAAGTGATGCTTCCTATTTATATATAGGAAAAAAACCCACGAGCATTGATGTTCAAGGAATGTGGTAAACAAGATTGGCAGAAATCCACAAGATGATGCTCTTTGCTGTGTGACCCACCCACTAACAGGAAAGAAACCTTTTTTAAGGAATGGAACCCATTATGTTTCATGAAGTTTCTTTCACTTATAAACTATATAAATTAAATTATGTAAATTTAGCACCAGGTATGGGAAAACAGAGACAACTATGATGATTTTTAGATTGTTGTCTGGATTTTATAAAGGCAGATGAATGACAACAAGAGAGGGGAGGGAAAAGCAGAACTTGGCTTCAACAGTTTACTTGGAATATTTAAGTTAAAACTAACAGGTTAAGGAAGCATCCATAAATTCAAACATTTACACATTAAAGTTACATTTAGTTTGCATTCCTTGGTAGAGCTGTGTGATTTATTTGTAAAATATGTATCTTCATTTACTAGTCTTTCCAACCTAGGATATATTATACATTCTGGAGGGTGGAAGGAAATGGATTTCTGCTTGGTTCATACTCACTGCTGCAAAGATTTATGTGGAACTGCCTACCTAAACTCCATCCATTAAACCTATATTGTTCTTAAACCAGACTTCTCCATCCTTAATGTCATTTCCACAAGAATATTAAGTCTTAATACAGACGTAAGATCAACTTTTAATAATAATAGCCCTCCTTCTTGTAATTTTGTGAGTAATAAAGATATCAAAGGTTATAATCCTTACCATTATTTTCTAAGTCATCTCATTAAGGTATGTGGCCTCAGTGTCTTTCAAGAAACTTTGTGTCAGAATAAGGCAGGCAGCAGTCTTTAGTTATATAAATTTCACAATCCATTTCAGGCCATGCTAACTTTATTGGATTTAAATTAGCACAAGGAACGTGTTTCATATGAGCTCTATATTAAGGTCCTTTTTCTGTTTTCCCAACCCTTTCAGTGCTGGAGACCACGTTAAGAGAAGCAAGGAAGCTTCTCCCTGGAGCCACCAAAAAACTGTTGACACCGAAAGCGCTCAATTCCCTTAGCATAAAGAGCAATTTCTAATTTTGTTACCTAAATATATGAGCTCAGCAACTGTCTTACAGCACACACACTAATGCTCATTCACCAGAAAGCAGCAAATTGTGCTCTAATATAAGAGCACTGTAAACGGGGCTCTCGACCTCCAACCCGTGCACATCTTGCTGTCTGGGGCTAACTCTCCTTTCCTTGTTTGTCGGGTTGACAGAAGTTGCCCCTTCCCTCCCGTCCTTCCTTTCTTTTGGACAACTTAACCGAACATCCCTGTTAGGAGCATCAGTAAAGAGTGCCTCTATGTACTTCAAATGCAACAGCGACTCCTTTGACATCCCTCTTTTTTAACCAATTCTTTCCTTTCGTCAACAGGATAGCAGCCAAGGAATCCGTGAATCTTATGTCAACACAAAGCTTAGGAATTGTGTTTGGACCAACACTCCTTAGACCTGAAAAGGAGACAGGGAACATGGCAGTCCACATGCTATACCAAAATCAGATAGTTGAACTTATGTTGAGTGAGTACAGCAAGATCTTCGGCTCTGAGGAAGACTGACAGACAGGGCCTGTTATTGAAAACGTTCACATCTGTCTTGATGTCTAATATTTTTACATTTCTGTAAACATATTTCTGAAATATTTCTTTTTCTTTCAAGTGACAGATGCCTCATTTTGTGAAAACTTAATGATGATTTTGTGTTTAATTTTCAAACATTGGAATAAAAAATATTGTCAACATTTGCCTATATGTATTCTGCATTAACCCTTTGAGAGTTTCATTATGCTAGCACTCCAAGTGTCACTTTTTTTTGCAAGCTGAGCATACAGCATATGGCCAAAGACCGTAGAAAATGCTGTTTACCAACATATGCAATGGAACAGAAAGACAAATAGTAATTGAGGAGATTTGTGGAAAATGGATTAAAATATGTATGTTAAAGGCAATGAATTAAAACAGTGATACCAGATCATTTGTACCTAATCCGAGTATAATTTACCTCTCCCTTTGATATATACTGATATTTAAAGACATGATGAATAATCAGTTTGCCTGCACCAAGACTTTAAAAAAGATTACATCTAATACTTTTACACAAATAAAAAATAAAACCCAGCCACCACCAGAATGTCACTATTAGCATAACAGTGTGCAAAAAAAAAAAAAATTAAAAACAAAATTGGAACTTTGGCATTTTTACTTAAATGCAGAACATGAAATGAAGACATTGCATGACTGCTCATTTTAATGTAACATCCATTTTGATTCTTCATCACACTGTACATCTGCCCACTTTCCCCTGCTATCTCATGTTCTGTAGCATTTGTATTGTGCTCCTGAGGATGCTTTATTGGTGAACTACATTAAATTCATCTAGAAAAAACTTTAAAAAAAAAGCCTTTTCATATGCCCTTAGGATTACTTGGCTAGACTTGAATCAATTTATGCATTTGATGGTTAGTTTCAGTTGTCATGGATAAACAAAAGGGTAACTGTCTAGAATATATCAAATATTGTTTCATTTTGAAATGTATGTTTCCAGCTATACACATCTCCTACCCTGTTTTGTAAAAGTATTCTGCTGATAAAATGTAGACTTATGTTTGACAGCTTTTTAATCAAGTTCAAAGAGAATAAATAAAACTAATCCAGTGTGGTAAAGAGTCTGTCTGGTTATCGATTTGTTCATAAAATGAAAAATAAACCATGTAAATAAGATGTGTGAAACACAGATCTAGAAGCAAATATTTAAAGCAATTAAAGACCCCAAAACACAGGATTAATGCATAGGTCTGCTGTGCACGAGAGATATGTCTTGAGTATCACCTCAACGGATCATGGATTACTTCAGTTTTTACTTAGCATCATTTTGCAAAATACCATGTTATTCAGGAAAGGTTACTCCTCAGAGTGGGCATTTATGGGAACAAATGTACAATGAAGCCTGATCCCTAACTAAGATGGGGCTTTTTCATCAGGTACTGACATAGGCAGAAAATAACACCAACAAAACATAAAAATTGTCCACAAGACATTTTCTGACTCCATACATGTCTGAAAAATCAAGCAAAACAGAGGGGTAGGGACCAGTACTTAAAATTAAAAACACGAAACCTAACATAGACCTTCCCCATATCACAGATATCCGACATAATCGTTTCTGAACAAAACTGCAACATTCTGGAGAACCCTAATTCACTTCACTTTCAAGAAAATATTTTTCATGTTAATGTCAAGCCATGAGTACTTAAACAGTAATGCTTTTCAGCATCGTCGTCTTTAGACTCTTTTAATAGCAACAAACCAGGCGCTGTTTATAGCCTGTGGAAATGACTGGAAGAAAGATAGTCAGAGGTTCAGTCTATTCCTTAATAAAGACCATTCACATTATGGCCCCACGGGTGCTCACAATCATGCCATTGAAGTAATTTCTGCTATTACTGGAAATGAAAAGTTCACTTGTTACTTGAATCCTGTTGCACTCAGAAGAAAAGATTCTTAATTAATTAATTAATCTTCTTTTAAGCTTTCTTTGGATCGTGGAGACTCCTCTTTTCTTGTTTTTATAAGCAAGACAAGGCTTATGAAATGAACCCATATCTTTCTTAAGATCAACTCCTTTGGTTGGGGGGGGAGAAAATCAAACAAAGTTTTGGACACATGAGCCTTTCTCTGGTTTTGAAGGGTGCCTTACATGAATTCTGTACAAATGTACTGACTTCTCTACAAAATGCTTTGTTAAACACAGAAGCCTGACACAGGGGTAGCCACTTTGGGGAGGGGCACAAGTGGGTCTCATCAGAGGAGCACATACATCTGGGGTGTATAGCAGATGTCTATCCTTTCTCATCCTGACAACCATGCCTTGTTACCAAGCTGCTCCCTTCCCCAAGACACCAGTGAAAAAAAGAAAAATATTTACAATTATTAACTGCAGTGCAGTTTCTTCTTCCTCCTGCTTGGGTAGTTCGCGCTTTGTTAACTAATCTCACAGCCCAGGACTCCGTCTGATTCTCTTTTGTTGCTGGTCACATATATTTCCAAATCCCCAAAGTGTCTAATTTGGCCTCCCTCCAGCATGAACAAATCACTGGGCCTTCATCACGACATTGCTCTTCCAATTGTTACTTATAAGAATGTTTGCTAGGACCTGATAGAGGTTTCGCTCATACTCTGGTATATTTTTAGGGAGTCAGACTTGCAGAAGACCTTTTTTCAGCAAATAGCTTCAAGTTTGAGAAAAACCACAGATATTTTAAGAAAGGCGTTATCGCTATTAATGGTAAATGATGAGAAAAATGAAGGCTTAAAATTAAGCAGAGACAAGTATGTCCAAGAATCGGTATGTTTATCAGCATCTTCACCCTATACAGAGTATCTTCTACTCAAACTTGTGTGAAAAGACAGCTGTCCTAGTACCTGAGATTACTACAGATCTCAGAAAGAGATCTGTAATGGAACTGAAAAGGGTATTTTCAGCTAGAAAGACTACTCATAAAAATAAAAATAAATTTCTTGAATCCTAAATTTTTGCAAGAAAAATTTGCAGTTTTAACTCAAGAAATACAACTACAAAAGAGAATTTATGAGAAATGAGAAAGATAAACAGATTTGCTGAGCTACAGCTAAAAGAGGACATGTAAACTGCCCTGAAAAAATTCATCCCCCTTTTTATTTACATATATATACACATACATAAAGAGCAACATGCATTTTTCTAGTTCTTTAATTCTCTGCTAGGACAGCTACAGTGCAGGTATTATTTAACCTGTTTTCATAAGCACACCATGTTGTAACTAAAATTGTCATTCAGCCCAAGGCGCTCAAGAAGTTTAGATACTCAATTACTATTTAGTATATAGACCATGGGTAGAGTTTGGAAAAAACTGGAAACTGGAAAGTTGGGACCACAATCACCACTGTAATCAGGCAGTGCATATATTTTACACGGCTAATTCTCAGAAGATGCTGAAAGGCAAGCCTCAGGGAAGGCACATATCACAGCT